CGTGGTTGTTGTGCTCAAGAATTGTCGAATACCATCTGGTTTCGTGGCCCATCGTTTCTCGAAGAAGATGTCTCAAATTGGCCTGGTACTGAAGACGAGATGACTACCGAAATACCAGAACGCAGAAAAGCTGCCGTCTTTAAAAACACAGCCTGTGAAAACAATGTCATTAATGACATTTTGGATAAGCAATCTTCATATTATAAATTTATTCGAATAATCGCTTATGTTTTTCGTATTTTCAACAGGTGTCCCATAAGTCGTTCTTTGAAAGTCCAAGATGTTGTCCACATAACTCCTAAGGAACTTGAAGACACCTTTTGGAAGGTCATCTCACTGGTTCAGCGGTCATGTTACTCATCGGACATACAACCAATTGGAAGTGGAACCGTCGCTCATCCATCTCTGCAAAAATTAACCCCATTTTTGCACAAAATGAAAGTGGGAAATGAAGAGATCAATGTTCTTCGAGTTGGCGAACGTTTAACAAATGCTCCGATTCCGTATGATGCAAAATTTCCTGCCTTGTTGCCCAAAGACCATCGATTCGTCAAGCTGTTTGTAGAGCATTTGCATCGAATTCATTTGCACGCCGGTCCAAAGGTGTTGTTGGGCATTTTACGTCAGAAAATCTGGACAATCAATGCCAGAGAAGTAGTTCGAAAGATTGTTCGAAATTGCGTGCATTGTTTTCACTATAAACCAAAATTGTTGGGACAAATAATGGGAAATTTGCCAGTTGATCGTCTTCGAGCTCAACGTCCATTCTTGGTAACTGGAGTTGACTTTTGTGGCCGTTTCATGACGTCGTATAGAATTCGAGGGAAGTCGCCCTACAAAACATACATAGCTGTTTTCGTTTGCTTCAGTTCCAAAGCTACCCATTTGGAACTCGTCTCAGATTTGTCAGCAAACAACTTTATATTGTGTCTCAAACGGTTCGTGGGAAGACGTGGAATTCCCCAGAAGCTTTTTTGTGACAACGCAACAAATTTCGTTGGAGCCTGTAACAAATTGAAAGAGCTCAAAGAATCATTTTTCAATGATGAAGTTGTCCAAAAAATTAAATCGATTTGCTGCCAAATGGGTCTAGAATTCAATTTCATACCTCCGCGCGCCCCACACTTCGGTGGATTGTGGGAGGCAGCGGTAAAGTCCACAAAAATGTTGCTCAACAATAATTTAACGGAGTCGTATCTCACATTCGAAGAGTTACAGACACTGGTAGTGGAAATCGAAGCAATATTGAACTCTCGCCCAATTGCTCCCATGTCAGACGATCCCAACGACGGCGAGGCGTTAACATCAGGCCATCTTCTTATTGGTTCATCTTTGGTGGCAATATCTGAGCAACATCTTGATGCGACCAAACCCTCGTTGCTAAATAGATGAGAAGAATGTCAATGAATGACAATTGGTCATCATACATGAGGACAACACACCCCCTCAGCAGTGGCTCTTGGCGAGAATTACAAAAACAATACCAGGTCGTGATGGAAAGTTCCGAGTCGTCGAGTTAAAAACGAAAAATGGAACATCGTGTCGCCCAATCCATAAAATAGCCCCTTTACCAAGCCCAGAAGATGTTTGAAATTTTGGCATTTCAACGGGGGGAGGATGTTGGAGGAGATCATTTTATATATTTTTTATGTTTTGTTTTATTATTTTAAATTTTACTTAATTTATTATAATTTTGTATTTTATGTTCGGCCAACATTAATGTTGTTTGTTAAACTTAATGTACGACCCACCCTAATGTTTTTTGCATTCCGTTTTACATGTCGCCCTTTGTCGTTCGTCTTTTTAGGAAAGCAACAACAACAATATTCAAATATTGTTTGAATATTTGCTTGTTACTGCTTTCCTATTTCTTCGTCGTAACAAAACAACAACAATGCAGTGATCTGTCGTTACTGCATTGTTGACAGTTTTATATGTATGTATGTAACATACTTATTAATAACTGTCGTTTGTTTTGTTTTGATCGTTTATTACTTTTATGTTTCGATTTCGTTATGTTTCGTTTGTTTTATATGTGGCCCTACAAGAAGGGAAAACAAATATGCTAAAAACAGTTGACTTTTAACCGGCATACGGAGCAACAAATAAAATTGTAAATCTTTTTTTTTTTAAATTAAAAACCAAACGCGTTTTTTCTTTTCGGGAAAAATACAAAAACCTTTCTGCGCTAACAACCCGTATATGTTCTGAAACATAGCCTTTAACAGTATGCGCTTAAAAACACGATATACTACCAAAAAATCTTTAAAGCAGTGCACGGAGCATTGTAGTCGAACGAGGGCCACCATATGATACTCTACACCACTACCACTGATAATCCTGCAATTTTTCGCGATATTTGCATTATCTTGCTATTATTATCCATCCTCTAACATCAATGGAATTGATATCAGATTAAAGACCAACCATCCCTTTTTAATACATTGGCAATAATATCCTCACAAAATAATGGCGTATATACATGTGCATATATAAACATGTACATATTGTTGTGATAGGCCTACATATATAACAAAACCGACTAATATTTGGTACAATTAAAATCATTCTTTTATATGACCTTTTGTGATTTTTCTTTTTCTACAAATACCGAATATATTATTACTCCCAATTTCACATGGTTGTTTCAGGCTCACTTCGCCTGTATAATTACATATAACAAATATAATTCTATATAACCTAAATACCTGAATATTGTAATAACATACATCATACTGTGATTTCAATTGCCAAAAAATATCGCCGAATTTGACAATACTTGTCATTTATACTGACACAAAAATAAAATTGATCAACAATGCCACACACAATCTCCTCACTCTGAACGGACGTTGAAATCGGACGTGTCAAAAAATTGCAAAACGAATGCAACAACAACCACAACAACAATCAATTGTATTTAAGAAACCTATATATTAATGTTTAACGGCCATTGACGTTCATACCAATCATATTTGCCATGATTTAAATGTCAGCAATTGGAGTAGAGCCTTGCTTGGCTTAATGGTGACGGCGGAGGCCACCGTCGTCAAATTGTTGCAAGGAATGCAATCATTGAATATAAGTTACCAGCATTTTTGTTGAACTGTGAACATGATTACATTATAGTTTATTCAATGACTGGTTCATTCGTTCTGTGTTTTTTTTTTTTTTGGCAATTGCAATCCAGAACTCTGGTCATTCACTGCAAGCTAGCTACATTGTTACTGCGATTTGAATAGTGTTCTGAGCAATGAATGCCCCCCGAATCATTGTCAGAATTTATTGAGCTCCATGTGATAAATAACAATTTGTGGTTTTATGAGACCACTTTAACAGAATATTTGTGTGCTACGAAATAAATTTCCACCTAGAAGTTATTGGAACTGTAGTTCGATGAAAGAAAATAGAGATTTAGCCGTAGATTTTTAAACATGAATTTTTCAAAAACTATGTTATTTAAATTCAACTATGTGTAAAGGTATTACAATTGAGACGCCAACAGTTTGTATAGCCGCGAACCATTGGTCTTAGACCCTACATTTAGTACGATGATCATATATCGACAAGCTGAATCGATCTAGACGGACCGCCGTCTAAACCTGTTAAACGAACACAGGCCGCAGTTATGGAGCAATCGCCACGGAATTTTGAATTTATATTCAGTTCTGAACAATGACGGAGGTTAATTTTTAAGAAAAGAAGTCGATCAACAACTTTTTTTGCCTGTTTTTTTAGTGGTGGAGGCTTCGATGACAGATGCGACATCTATTTAAAATTGCGGGAACAATACGATATCGATACGAATTTAGAACACGAAGGACCTTAGTCGTGCCAGAATGAAACGAGATAATCTAGGTAGAAGCCTCTGTCTCTCTCGCCCTCTCTCTCTCTCTCTCTGAAATTACAGGCAGATCAGCCGTCACAGTGTGATAGTTTGGATGACACTGGAATAATAAAATCCATTATTAGGGATGGAACGCCTATAACCTTATTTGTAGTTATCAACATTTTCTTATATTTGCCCCGAAATAGGCCAGCCAGAGCTTTGTTCAACTTCATCCTTCCGGTTGAAGTTTGGAGTACAAATTTTGTAATGTTTCGAAAAGCATACGGGTTATGAAAGGTTAGTCTATATTACAAAAATACAGCTCTATGACTTCCATGAAGTGTCAACGTTTCCGGAATATAGAATGTAATGTATTATAGCATGTAGGTGATCGACGCTCTGAACATCAACCGATTGTTCCTAGCTCCCACATTATGGCTGATGTAATTGAAGTTCGAAACGAAGTAAAGAATTGAGAACAGTGGCAACACGTCTTCCTTCGACAAAAAACAAGCTCTAAATTGTCTTCTCGCGAGGATGAAGTTAGCTAGGAGTGGATAATTGAATATGGCTCTCCCGGTAGAAGAAAGGGTTTAGGGATGGAACTACATATATAGGAGGTGCTACATTTACTTTTTGTTTATAGAGCATTGTTCCTAGCTTTTACCTCATGATTTTTGTATTTGAAGTGCGAGGAGAAGGCTGTTATCGGAAACCACCTCAACAATGGTGAGGAATTACCACATATTATTGTCTTTTGAAAATGAAAAATGAAGCATATATCTGTTTTATACTACGAAATGAATGAGAATTTTTGTGTACTTCCAGGAAGGTGTTTCCCGTAAATGAATTGAAGTTGACGGGATATTTATTGGAGGTCTATGACGAAACAGGGTCCTATATCGAAAATGTTCTGCCCTTTATAACCACATAGTGGCAAAATGTATACCATCTTCATAGTACCGAACAAAGATGGAACTTTTACTCGTATATTGAGGGCTAATTCAGATCATGAACCTGTATCTATAATGTTCTGTAAAAATGTTTGCCACCCTCCAAAAACCGCAATGCCAAATTATAGCCACTTTGGCGGGAAACTTATGTCAAAGATGTTCTGGAAAAATATTTGTCACTATCCAAGAACCCAAATGATATTAAAGTCACTTTGGTTGTAAAATACGTCTAGAAAACTTGTATATGGTAGCTATGCGAAAACAGAGATCCCTACATAAACCCAGAAAACTGCACTACAGTCACAAAAACAGAAAATAGGAGCTATGTCAAAACAATATTTTTTGCCAAAAACGTTTTTCACCCTCCACAAACTCGAAATCCCTACAATAGCCACTTCGGTGGGAAAATGCGTCTAAAACTTTTAAAACCCCAAAAAGGGGTCGGGATATGGATACAGAGGCTTTGTCAAAACCTTACACCTATTTCAGACATATATCGAAAATTTTCTCTAAATATATTTTTCACCCTTCCAGAAATCGAAATATTCTAGGGGTACTAAAAATTTTGGTACAAAATTTGAACCGTTTATCTTATGGACATGGTTAAGTCGGCATTTATACCCTTCCTCACACTGTGGCACAGGGTATTATGTCTTTGTGCATATGTTTGTAACAGGCAAAAGGAATCGAGATAGACCACTGGTTGAGAATATGCATAGAATCACTTTCTGACTCTATTTACGCATGTCCGTCCGTCCATGTATTTTTGTTAACAAAGTACAAATCGCATTTATGATCCGATTTGGATGAAATTTGGCACAGTTCATTTATTTGGATCAAGGGCGAACCCTATTGAAATTGGGAAAAATCGGTTCAGATTTAGATATAGCCATTGGAGAAAATCGGTTTAGATTTAGATATAGCTCTCATATATATAGTCGTCCGATTTTATGTGAATGATGCACCAAACTCCCAATATTTGTCCTATTGGCAGAAAATTTTGCACAGAGTTCTGAGTTAGGTCCAGACTGATGTCTGCGAAGTTTGATAAAAATCGGTTCAGATTTAGATATAACTCCCAAAAAATCGGTTCAGATTTAGAGTTTCATCCGATTTTTTGTGAATGATACGCCAAACTCCCAATATTTGTCGGATTGAGTAAAATTTTGCATAGCGAATGCTATTGAGAAAAACATGATGCGTGATAAGGTTTGCTGAAATCGGTTCAGATTTTGATATAGGTCTTATATACATTTTCGTTTGATCTTATGTATGTGGTGGTTATACAAAATTTTGCAGAGGTTTAATACTCTCTGCAAAATTTCGTGTAACCATGAATATAGTGATCGTGTAACGTGAATATAGTGTTTACGAAAAACAAATGGTGTACGCAACGGTTACTTAATTAGGTCCAAGTTTTTATATATAGCTCCCATACATAATTTGACTCGATTCCACACAAATGGTACACCAAAGAATCCAAGTCTGTCCGTTTGACATGGCATTTTTCGTTGATTTCTGAATGGTATATGTTTGGGGTTTTTAATTTGTTCCAATATTTATCTAGATAGCACATTTAAATTCGTCCGATTTCATCTCAATGGTCCTTC